ACAAACATACAAACAAAAAGTCTATTTTTAAATATCACATCTCTGAAAATAATCACTTATAAAAGAATAGTGACTTTCCAGAGACACTCAATTAGTGTACAGAAAAAAAAATCATATCCTCACAAGATGGCCCTCTTTTCCAAATACAGGAAATAGAATGCTATACTCTTAGACAAAAAAGTATATTTCAAATATGCTTATAGGTTTCTTCTTTTATTTATTATGAAAGTCAAATGAAAATATCCTTACAAAATTTTCCAGGAGATGACTGTAAACAGGGACTTTAAAAGCAAACTTTTAAGAAGAGCAATTATGTTTCCTTTCAACATAATTGCTTAATATAATTCATTTATTGAATACCTACTATATACAAAGTACTGCTTCAAGGCTGTGTGGTATAAAGCTAAGAACTCAGAGCATGCTCATGAACACACTTCAGAGACACGCTGAAAGCAGTATTTTCCCTGAAATCTACTCTAAGCCAAATAAAATGTTCTCCAAATTCTGCAATAAGCTGAATAAAACTGTATACTTTCTAACATGGCCATCCCAGAAATTTGTTAGAGGCTTCACTTACCATTAGACACAATAAGGATTATAGCAGAGCTGAGGCAAACCTGGAACTAATATAATATTCTCTGGGGCCTTTTTTTTTTCTTTATAATGTATATTATGACATTTAACATGTTAAACCTTCATGTTAGATTAGAGGAAATATTCAATGAATTAAACATATCTATTGACAATTTGCATGGCCTAAGAGGTCAGTATACAATGGTTTTAGGAAAGGTGATTTAAAAATTCTCTGAAGTAGCTAATTCTTTTTCCAACTTATTCCCAAATAAGTGTAGATATCCAAAAATGTTATTTAAAGTCAAAGTTTTAGGTGTTTTCTCAAGGTTTTTAGGCTTTTAGTGATTCTGGGTGCTTTAGAGTAATTTATGTCTTTTCTTTTCCTATCACATTAAATCATTAACACATTTCTTCAGATAATACTTAAAGGCTTTACTATAACATGCATGGTATTTTAGATAAGTTCATTTTATATAATAGGATCTTTCTAATATTTTAGTTATCAAAAATTCTTTTTACTAATTATAGCTATTTTATCACATACTGGGGTCTACAGTGAATTGTACAATAACTCCTAAATGCACTATATTTACTATACACTCTTACGGTAGAAAACAGAAACAAATTTTCCAATAGTATAATATACAATATGAGAACAACATTTTTAGAACAATCCTGAAAATCTTAAGTCAAATAGATTATTTTGATATTTCTTTAACAATATGACCATGGGAAATGAACTTTGATATTAAATTTCAAATGATTAATTATTACATTGTGTATCACATTTATCTGAGCAGATCATGGTCTAGTACTTGGCGCGTATGACTGATGATCAACCTATCTGCACTAAATGAGATACACCATGCTTTGTGTGACTTGATTTTCTTATCTAAAATAGGGATAAGCATTTAAAAAAAATTAGTTGTAGATGGACACAATATCTTTATTTTATTTATTTTTATGTGGTACTGAGTATGGAACTCAGTGCCTCTTATGTGTGAGGCAAGCAATCTGCCACTGAGCCACAATCCCAGCCCAGGGATAAGCATTTTGATCTACCTCAGAATACATTATTTTTTAAAACCGAATGAGACAAAATTATTTACAGACAGTTAAGAAATACAGGCAAATTAATTGCCTGTTGTAATGAATATCCTAATGCACAAAACTTTTTCAAATGTCAATTCTAACCTACTTCTGTCTATGGGAGGTAGTTTACAATTGTTTACCTTAATTTTTTTGAGTCTGGATTTCCTGAATCTTATTATAATTCTAATCATTAGCTTAATTTTCCAAAGAGTGGGTTACACTATTTGTTATTTTTGAAATAGCAGCAATCTCCAAAATAATTTTAAAAATGAAGAGTAATACCTTGGAAATATACTGTTTTAAACTGTTAGGTAATTAAAACTAAATTTGTATAAATGTTTGGAATGGAAGGTTTCAATAGTCTATTTTCTTAAATTAAAATGGATTTATTTGAGATTTAAATGCTATATTTAATTCAACTAGCTTTTTCCCACTTATAAAAACATACAACAATAAGCCTAACTATGATTGATAGTTGAAATTTACTTTTTTATTTCAAAACATTCAGACTGTATATGTTCAAAGATTTCTACATGATACTACCACCAAAAATTTAGTTATGTGTTAACAGACAGAAAACACATAAACCACGTTTTAATTTATCTAATGCCTTTAAAAGGTATTCCATGTAATAATCAGTATCACTAAAATCACTCCCCATAAAATATTTGTGTGTGTGTGTATATATTAATGATACAAATCTATAGTGAAATGATGAAATAAAAAAACAAGTGTTCTTGTCAGAAGACAGGAAGAGAGTTTTTTCCCCTCCCTCAAGAAAACAAAGGATTCCTGGAAGCTTTGCCCTGATTTATTTTTCCAATTTTAAATACCTTAAGAGTAGCGGAACTGCTACTGGCATGGTAGTATTTCTAACAGTCAATAAATCTAAAATATTATGTGTGAATATTGGAATGAAGCCATTAAGAAGATTACAGCATGCAACACAGCAGAGGGTCCACAGGAAAAAAGACCTAGTAATTCAGGACAACTGTGACCACTGACCTTTGAACAGCCAAGACCACTGGTCAATCTGACACAATAATAGAGTGCACATGCATAGAAAGTCATCTAGCCTGTAAGTATAATTTAAATGCTTTGGTGGATGATTTTAAAATACTTTCCACCTAAATCTCAGTCAACTTATTAAACAATCAAACCGATTACAAACACTAATATTCTTTAGGCTTCAAATACGTATTATTAATTTAAATTACACACAAAACTTCAGTAAAATCATTAGTGATTTTAACACATCTCATTTAAAACATTTGCCATTTAAAAAATATGTTGTGATACTTCATCATTTTCCTTTGGAGCTATAAGAGACAGGTTAAACAATCACCTTAAATATTTTTAGAAAATTACTATAACTTTAAAAATATTCATATTTTCAACAAATGATCCTTGCTCTATCTCAGAAGCATTTTCATTTATGTAGCCTTCAAATTATCTGTAATTCTGTGGCCTTCAGTTTCAAGCGTCTATATATAATCAATCCACCATACCTGGCAGTGTTGCTTTTTACCTATTTTAAATATTTCAGTTTTGTTTAGTTATAATGTTGTTTATGAGTAGACTACACAATGACCTATCATCTTTTATATTTAAAACTCATATTTGTACATTTTGTGAATACTACTTATCATCCCCATCTATTTAAATAAGTGTCTTAATTATCAACTAATTCTAGTACTTCTCAATTTTAAAAAAGCAGAGTTCTTCTCAAAGAATCATCTCACTAAAGCTGACAATAAAATTTTTAATATCATACAGAAAAGCTGAATTTCTTTCTCTCTTTCTTCCTCTTTCTTTAATAAACAATCCTTCCTCAATTGAGCATTAATAGTATGAGATATATGCACAGGAAAACATTCTTAAAAGTTGGAATTCTATTTTTATAATTATTTCTCCATCCATTGAAGAATACTTTGATGGGATTCTAAATGAATAACTAATCATTTCTAGTAGTTTCTGCAAAAGTTTATAATGAGACAATCTAGTTATAATGAGCTGAAAAGATAATTGTTCATTGGCCTGAGTGTGGATGTGTTCAAACAGCATGAATTTTTACTAGAGTTAAGATAAAAGAGTTCAGAGTAATGTGCCTCAAGGTCAGCAAGCATTTTTGGTTATTTATAGTCATAAATAATCTGATTTGGATTTTGAAATAATATTTTTCCTATCACTAACTATAAGAACAATAAAGGCTCATGTGGCTGTATATTTGGAATTTGGAATTTTTAAATCCTTAATAATGGATTTCAAAGCAATTGTAATTTACACAAAAATGTATTATGATTTTTAATTCCCAAATTTTAATGTCCTTGAAAAGATGCTTTGCTTTTTGAAAAAGGGGAGTTAGTTTACCTTAAAACTAAATCACAGGATGTTTTTAACTAGCCCATTAAATAAAATATATACAAATAGTACTCGTTTGCATTTTTGCCCTATACTAAAGAATATGAAGGCCAGAAAAATGTACTTTTTGAGACTATTTAACATGAAATACAGAATATGTCCCATTATAAGCTGCAGACACAAACCCTCTGCAAGATCAAAGACTAGAAAAGAACTGGCACTTAATTTATCAGCCTTTACAGACAAAAGACAGTTTTCGTCATTTCAAAAGGATCAGATGTCTTTTATGACAAACTGCGTTTGCAGTTTAATTTACAAATAGAATTCTAAGTAAGCAGTCTTTGCTCTGCCAAAGCAAATGACAAACAGTGTAGGTTTTCATTCTTGCGGTCCTCAGCAGGATAGAAAAGATTAAAATAAAACTGAAATAATTTAGAGAAAACAAATAAATGTTTCAGAAAGTTGAGGGAGATCAAAGCCAGAATTTTCTGACCCCAACTGTACAAGCATTTCTTATTATATTGACCAGTGCCATCAGATCATTAATTAAAAGGAAAAGCGCTGGCAGGTGGCAGGGAAGCAAAAGCCGATAATTGGCCCCCTTCTTCTTCTTGCCTTCAAAAACTCTCTCATTCTTTTGCAAGACATGCCACTAGGCAGACAGAAATGCCTACTTTGTAATATAATGATTAAGATGAGATGAAGAGACTTACGTTTAAAGAAACTCTGCCTAATGAATGCATCTAGCTTTTTAATTATGATGGTACTTTTACAATAAGGAATATGATGTCCCATTCTACATCTCCTCAACTGCCAAAAGGTAAAAATGCTAAAAATAGAACTACATCAATTCCTCTCACACCACTTGCACACACTAACCCTTTTATTTAAGATAAAAAGTGAGAAAATAACTCTTAACTCAAGGGTCCAGGAGAAAACATATACATTCTTCACAAAATATCCTTCAGACTTACCACATCACTTGGCAGGTTGTTCAAGTCATTAAATGGTGATTCTAGAGTATTTGTGTCAACATTTAACATAACCACATCTTCCAATGATTTGTTTTTCACTCTCTGTTTAAAAAACACATATATGAAAAAGACAAAATATTTTCTATGCAAACTATATGTTTTTTGGTGTTTTTTTTAAACACCAAAACATTATCTTAATGCAAAGGCTTGAAATTTTCAACAAAAAAATCCTACATTACAAAAGGATATAAACAACTTCGTATTCCTAGGAAGGAAATTTGATCATTATCCATTCAAAACATTTGGTAGAAATGCTTAAAATGCAGTATTTGCTCATACAATACTGAATTAATTTAACTACCAAAGAGATAATGCAACAAAACCTATTATAAAATTGGCACACTTGCATCACAAAAACCTCTAGTCTTTAAAATTCATCAAATGAATATCAATCCAATAATACAGTAATTTGTACCCAGCTCCTCACCTATCTTTAGCATAAATCACACTGTAGTGACAACATAAAATAATAACTATGACCACAGTATTGATCTTCATTTTAAAATGAATAAATATTTTCTCTACATTTCTATACCAGTAGATATACCTTGATGATGAGGACTGAAAGTGGTCTAAGAGAAAGTAACAGAGAGGAGAGTAAGCTGGAACTTATAGTTAGCAATATTCCTTACATCAATTTCATGGTAAACAATGAAATTTAATAGTCTATCAGAATGACCATTTTATTTGTCTTATTTATTTAAAAGCTTTAAAATAGTCAACATACCTCAATATATTCACAAATTATACTAAATTACAATTTTATCAAAGTTTTTGACCTAATAAAGAAAATAGTTATGGTTATTTTGTCCTATTTAAATTATCATATATACTTTTAAAAAAGCATTGATTTCTATTTGTTTGATTTAAATTATAGCAAATGGTGATAAGTGATAAGTAATGTGTTCATTAAGGAAATAAATCCATGAATTTATAATTCCATAATTTTATAGGTCAACTAGTAATAGATCAATAAATAATTTCAGTGTAATATTTTAAAAACTATCATTGCAGAATAAAAGCCATTTTTGAAATTTATTATTTAAATATCTCAAATTTTAAATTGGCTAAGTCAATTATTTTTTTTAAACTGATTATAACTGAAATTTCTCCGATCTATTTAAGAATTTCAAATTTCTGAACATTTGGTAGAATGTTAAATCTGCTAGTGAACTAACAGCCTAAAGTAGGGAATTCATGTTTTAAGAGAGGTATAATATCTACGTATGATATGAATTCTTGGGAGATACACTATTTTAAACATCCATCTTGTAAAAACACATTGTATTATAAAATAAGACCTTAAAGATAGTCACTTCTAAGACACAGAGAACCATTTCTGGTGACACTAATGATATTATTTCAAAAAACATTTATAAATACACTCACTTCTTTTTCTTCCTATACACACTGAGAGGTTTAAATACAGAAATATGTGTTTACTTATAAATTAACTATAGTATAAATATAATAATCCATTTAATATTGTAAGCAAATATATATTATATTGGTGTACTTGTAGTAATGATATTTGGACAAACTATGTTATAACTATAATATACATCTTCATTTTTAAGTTAGCTTTATACCAGAAAATATGTAAATAATCTGGGAGCTAGACACATATTTTAAGAAGTAAAATGAGCTTTTAAAAATAGCACAGGATAGATGGGCACAGTGGTGCAAGCCTATATAATCCCAGCAGCTCAGAAGGCTGAGGCAGTAGGATCACAAGTTCAAAGCCAGCCCCAGCACTGGTGAGGCACTAAGTAACTCAGTGAGACCCTGTCTCTAGATAAAATACAAAATAGGGCTGGGATATGCCCCTGAGTTCAATCCCCAGTATTAAAAAAAAAAAAAAAAAGCACAGGATAGTGCCAATGTGCCCCAAAATGTTTTGTGATAACACTCTAAAGTCTGAATAATTAATATGAAATGTTCACTTTTTTCAAAATTACTTTTAGTTTTATAAACTCAGAAAATAGTGCCCACGGAATTGTTTTTCAAAGAATTAATCAATAAGAATAACAACATGAAGCAGGGTGTGGCAATACAGGCTACTCTCAAGGCTAAGGCAGGAGGATCATGAGTTCCAGGCCAGTCTGGGCAATAGGGTCTGAGAAAGACCCTATTTCAAAAAGAGAAAAAAAAAAGAATAGAAAAATGTATTCAGTTTTAATTAAGAAACTGAGAGGCCATAATATGAAATAATTTCAAGAATGAAAGAAAGAAACAAAGGAAGGAAGGAAAGAAGGAAGGAAGGAGGGAAGGAAGGAGGCAAACCAGTATTTTTGAAAGAAAATCTGGAATAGCATCAGTATGTTAACTATTTTTTCTCTTCAAATCAAGCTTAAGCAATTTTTTTTCTAAATAGGTATGTAAAAATCAAATGTTACCTTTTTATCTGTCTCATATTTTTATACCTTATAAAGTTATAATATATAAAAATAAGAGTGAGAAAACATGAGAAAAGAATTCCTTTTTCTTCAAAAATAAGAAAATAATAACTGGACATAGACTAAAAGGCTTATTAAGAAAACAGTAAGGTGTTAAAGTAGGTTAAGTCTTTTCATGCCCTCTATTAAACCCTTCTGCAAATGTGACTACGGATGTACATTATACACATTAATTCAAAGAAATGACACCATGGCAGCAATCATATGACCTTATGAAACTGAACAACATGTCACTTAATAGTCCTTTGTAAAATGAACCAAATAAGACAATTCTCATATTTATAGCTTTTACTCATTTACTCTTAATCTCTTTTACATGCCTTAGTCTGCTTTGAGATCATCCCTGAAGTTTAGTTTTCAGAAAGAACAAAATATGTTTTTCCTTTATTTTAGAAGCATTTTTTTTTATTTTAAAAAGAGACTTTTTGCCATTCTTTACTCAATGATTACATAAAAAATAATTTTAAAAATTCAAATATCATTAATATGATTTAAAATAACTATGGAAGTTTTTATAAACTGATAATATATGTGGAAACTGTCTTGAACAAGAAAGAGAAAAAAGACTATTTTGACTCTTGAAAAATTTCATTGTAATTGCTAAAAAAAAATGCAAAAACTTACTTATCTCAGTCTAACATATAAACTATGTAAGTAGTTACATCCACATTTTAATTATAAATTACTTATTATAAAATAAATAAGCACAAAATAAATTTTAGATGAAAAGTCCAATAATGAAATAGTAAGAATAAAATTGCAATATATAATATCATTGTGTAATACATTAAGAAGAAAGTTACTAAATAACACCCAACTGTTTTAAAAGAATTCTTGAGGGCCCAAGTATATTTTTTCATTCACTATTAAACCAGATAAACCAAATAAAGCTGACTATCAAGACAACTTGAATAAACCAGTGAATAAAAATTATAGAGATTTCAACTAACCTAACTGTGGCTCTAAATATTCTTGTTTAATAACAAAAGCTTATTTAAAGTTAGAATGCACTTTTTTAAAGACAATAATTTCAAAACATGAAAAATTTTTAAGTTTGCTCCTTAAAAAATATTTTCTTTACATATGGCCAATAAATATATGATAAATAAAACTGAACACTTAAAACATGTATAATTTCTATATTAATTTTGGAAAGCCAATTTTAAAAATTGATATAGAATATTATATAAAAAAATAACCCATCAATAGGTAGTGTCAACAACTTTAAATATTTTGCATCTGTATAAATATACAGAAAAATTATCATCTTACATTCATTAAATACAGAAAGTCACTAATGTGAAAATGCATAATAATATGCACAATAATATGAAAGTCAAATTTGATGATTTCCTTAGGGAAAAAAAAAATCTAACCATGTTTAGATTCCTAATCAAGTCAAGCTACTGGTCAGGGCTTGGGATGAAGCTCAGTGGTAGAGAACTTGCTTACCATGTGTAAAGCCCTGGGTTCAATCCCTAGCACTTCAAAAACAAAAACAAACAAAAAACTGATCAATAAAATAATAGTGAGGTGCTGAGGCTGTGGCTCAATGGTAGAGCATTTGCCTGGCATGTGTGAGACACTGAGTTCGATTCTCAGCACCACATACAAATAAATGAATAAAACAAATGTCCATACATCTAAAAAAAATATTTTAAAAAATGCTACGAAATATTCCATGATCTAATACCAGACTGAATACCTAAATTAATCTATTCTACATTTCATATACTTTGTTTTTTCAGTGAAAATGCCTGAGCTTATAGGAAAACTTTTATAAAAATGAATAAAATATAAGAAATCATAAAGTTATCCAACCCGAATTTCAATATAAAAAAAATTCAAGCCTATTAAAAATTCATTAAGATTTACTTTCTATTAATGATGAAGCAAATAAAAAATACTGCCTACTATTTTGCAAAAAAAAAAAATGCCCCAAACTAGAGCTCAGGTGTAATTCTATAATCCAGGCCTTTTGCTGGAACATGACTCTCTCATAAGATCCTTGAGAATTTTAAAATACATCAAAAGAATCTTCTTTGATCAAAGGGAAGGACTGATGTATATAGTAACAGCAACTAAGAAAACCACATTTAACTCATTATTTTGTTAATTCGAAATTAGGTTAAATTGTTAATCTGTACAATCAGCCAAAAGAGAAAAGTATTCAAAGAAAACTGAAATCACCCATCATAATGTTTCCACTCAACTGACTCAAATTTTCTGCTTTCATACAAAGCTTTGTTTATTTTTTCACAGGCTAATCTTCCAAAAAGTCTACTCTGGTAATATCACTGATTCAGATTCAAGAACTTTGAAGTTTAAGTAGTTTCACTACAAGGATAACTTAAGTAAAAAAAAAAAAATCATTTGGAATGATCTGATGACAGCTAAAAAAAAAATCCCAAATTTTCATCCCCCAACAGGACTGAAAATTAAAATATAAAAAGAAGCTATATTCTAATTTCAAAGTTTGTCATTATCATATTAAAACCACATAGAAATAAACTAAAAAAATGAAGTTTTCAAAATAAAAACATTTCATTTTCTGAGCCACAAGTACGTAAATTTTAATTTTCAAAATATAGTTCCGAGAAAAAGATATAAAAGATATCAAGTTACCATCAAGAAAAGTAGTTCATTAAGGATTAAAGTTTTTAGTATTCAAAACTTACCATATGACTTCTATAAAACATAACCTATTTTCATGGGTTTCATGCCACTAAAAATGCTCATTTAGTACACTAATCTAAATGAAATTATTTCAATGCTAACTTTTTTAAATGATCATTTAATTAGCTCCTAAATATGAAGTTAGTCACTGCTTGGTATTATTCATTTGATATTCTTTCAAACAAAACTGTTTTAAGTATTATTTTTAATGAGTAAATTTTATCACTATCTCGTTTCTAAAAGATACTCACCTCTATGAGGCTGGAGTGTATTCCAATCAGGTATGGCATTGGGGCACTAAATTAAAAAAAAAAATATATATATATATATATACATATATATATATATATATTCATATAGTTTGTTAAAACTGAAACAATAAGTATTTCAAGTGCTTAAAAAAATTAAATTTACTAAATGCTCAGTTCCAGAACAGCACATTCTACATTCAAAATTATTCAATATATAAAACTCAAATTTAATCCTAGAGGTCATTAACATTTAAATTAAGGTTGGCTTATCTAAAAATCACAAAATCTTTTGTAATTAAATTAAGATTATAATACCTAAAAAGCATTTTTTATTTAAGACTCTCAGGGGCCTAGGCCACAGTCTGAGTTGAATCTTTTCCATATACCTCACAGCAAATAAATCCTAAATAATCATCAAATATATTACATTTTTGCACATATTTTCTCATTCTTATTTCTGTGATTTTTCTTAATATGTCTTCATTATTTCATACCTACTATGTCTCCAAATATTTAGTCAGTCAGTCAGTCAGTTACATAGTCACAGTGTCATCAAATATTTACTGAGACTTAATGTGTGCCAGGAAGTATTCTGGAAGTAGAGTTGCAAAAAATAAACAAGTTCCTCCCATAATATGCTTTCTCTTCCCTCATGTATATCACCTTTAATTTAAGTTTTATAAATTCAGATTTATTCCACTTTCAGTGTAATGAATAAAATAATTTTAATAAATTAAAAATACTCAAATACAACAAGGATTTTATATTAATTAATTCAATGCCTGATATTGGAGGTGCCAGGCTCTGAGGTAGGGGCTTGGGAATAATAATAAACAATATGACTGAAATGTGTTTCCTTGTGAATCTTGTACCCTAGCAGAAATGCAAACATTAAAGAACTTTTAGTATACAAAATCTATGCTACTAGTAATTTTAGAAATATTTCTTAGGAAATACAAGAAGAAAATTATTCAACTTGACATTTCAAACAAAATTATTATCTAACAGGAAAACATAAGAATGTACAGATGTCTACAAAAGTGATAGAAGATATGTGAACAAATAGCTATATAAAAATAAAACATTTTGGCAATTCTTTTATGGGTATCTTTGTGCTTTATTAATGCAAACCTTTTCTATTAAGGCAAACAGATAATCCTCTTTCTCAAAGGATTTGCATAATTTTCTAACCATCACTGCCATTATTAAAACAGTGCTGTCCAAACTCTGTGTTCACTTTTCTACTGAGAACTAATAATAGATAAAAATAACAGGCACCTTGACAGATTCAGGTATTTCAAAGTAATCTCAGAAAGTTCCAAGTTCATTTAAGGATGGATAAACAGTAACCTATACTTCCAGAATTCACACACACACACACACACACACACACACAAACAAACAAACACACACTCACACAATGGATGAAGTTCTTTGCTTCTCAGTAGCCTGTACGTTCTAGTTCATTACTTATTATTGTACTACATTCTAATTCCCAGTTGTCTTTGCCTTTTGTAGCTTTGTTCCTTCCTATTCTTTTTTAATTTTTATGCAACAGACCATCTGGAATTGATCTGATATTCTGGATACTTCATTTGACTGAAAGTTGAAAACTATTTATAGGTCTCGATATCCTCAAGACCCAATAGATTTTCTTCCGTAAAAAGTAAAAAGGAGGAACAAATGTGGACTGTTCCACTTTTACTTAAATAAGGGAAGGCCAGTTACTCCCTAGTTCATGTTTTCATCCCTTGGACTCTACAGATAACAAACAAAGTATAGATCACTACTCTGGGCCCCCAGAATCAGGCTTGGGCCACTGTCACTAAATAAGGTAGGCAACTCTCAAGATTTTAAATATGTTAAGCCCTCCAAACATCCAAAATAGTATAAAATTATTAGTTACCACAAAACCTTCCAATTCACCCCCAGTTAGGATATCCTAATCACAAGATGTATAATACAGAAAGTCTATGGTATCTTAAATTCCAAAACACATTTTAATAGAAGAGTGCTTGCCAAAATATTCAAGGCTTTTAAACATAGTATGTTCCTCTTATACATGTTGAAGAGATACTGGATGGACCACAGTTTTATTAAATGAGAGTTCAAACTGCTAAGTAATCTACTAAAATTCTAGGAAATTCATCTAGAAAAATACTTTTTAAAGATTATGAAGGCTACTTATCTTTTGAGATACAAACAATAAGTTTATATAAATTGTAAAGATAGAATTAAAAATTCAGTAAAAAGCATCTATGCAGAGTAATAAATAATAAAACAATAAAGTAACTCAAAACTTTTTATAATAATAATAAAGTAATTCAAAATTTGTTTATAAGATAGCTAAGTAAGTATCCACAAGATTTTTCCTCACTAATTTTAAATAAAATCCAAAAATAGAGCTATTTGAGGCACAAGCATTATTAATCTACAACACAGATTTTCTAAAGTAATTATGATATTTTTCAGAATATGAGATTAATTGAATAGGTGTTTCCTTCCCACCTTTTCATAGTGGATTGTGTACCTCCTAATATAAAATAAGCCAAGTCTCATGGAAAGAAATTTTGCAAACCCTAGCTGAAATTTCCTAATTAAATTAGGGTGTTAATAAGTCAGGAAGAGATCCTTGGCAACACAGATGTTAACATCCATGTGCAAAACTGTCCTAGATCTTTCCATCAGTGAAGTTATTTTGAAAAGACAGAATATAGAAGGCTCTATTATGAATGCTGTTTCTTTTTGGTAGAAACTAACCTTCACTCAAAATACTGCCTTTCTTTTCTTTTTAGGTTTTCTTAACAAACAGACTACCTGTAACTATAACAGCAATCTATTGGGGGTAGTATTAAAATTGTAATCTTCCATTTAAAAAAAAGTGTTCCCTTAGAAGCTAAATTGATCATTTCATAGCAGATTCAGATAGATGAGCTAAATGAAAAGATTGACTAACCATTCCCTGACCAAACAACAATTTACTTTTACTACTCGTAGATCACAACACCTCTTAAGCATTTATGAACTCAGATAGTTTATCAGTGTCATAAACTTGCCACATTAAAATACTCTTATTTTGGCTGATTAAGGGAAAAATACAGATTGTATAACTTTCTTCTGAGAATCATCCCTAACCTTCCAAGAAGGTGGGCTGTTTCTTCGATTTCCATGCATGGTTCTTTTGTATGTCTCCACAATAGGACTTACAATATCTGAGCTTTATGTGTGTATGTGTGTGCACATAGAAGTTTATGTCAGTATATATGTATGTCTTCCTATCTGTGAAGCTCCCAAGGGCAAAAAATTAATCTTATTCATCACATTACATACACACATCTTGGCAAATAGTTGCTCACTAGATGTTTGATGAACAAATATATGGATGAATGAACAGACCAACAAAGTAGTTAGGCTTTATCAATAAACCAAGATGCGATATTCACCCATGGTCACAAGATGGCATTATGGTTCTCCACAACCTGTTCTATGCCAGAGCTATCAGATGCAAAAACAGAAATACTTTGAGGAGCTAGAATTACTTCAGGATTTGGAAAGCTCTTATCATTCTAAAGAGTTAACAATAATACATCTACTCCTATCAAACCTTCATGGTGTTATTTTTAACTGGAATATTAAAATCATTTATTCAAAGAGATTGAAGGGATAATATGAAATATTTTCCCCTTGTGCAGGTAGATTAATATGATTTTAACTTGAAGGATTCAAAGGGAAGAAAAACCATTTTTCTTAGAAAATTGTTTAGTCCAACAAATTTTCTAATAATAGAAGAAAGCCAGAATCTCAAATGGCTATTTCTAGAAAAAAAAAATCATAGTTCTTAGTTCCTACAGTAGAAATTAACCTATCACTGTGTCTGTAAAGTTCAGAAAGTTTCAGATAAACTCCTTGCTTGGGTATCACTGCTCTGTTATAAAAGCTGTTAGAACCTGTCCTAACAGCTACTTCAGACATTAGAAAGAAAATTCCAGGGTTGAAATATAGAACAAGCTTCTTTCATTATAATGGAAGCAGCAAAAAAAAAAAAAGGATTCGATGTCAGGGATGGAAAGTATCAGAAAGGTAGCTTTGGAAAGAATTAGTAAAAATTTCCCTGAGTCATTGAACAGTTTCTAAATAACATTAAATGTGTAATTCATTATAGAGAAATGAGCTTAGAGGTGTGTTACCTCTAAGAGGTCAGATTATTTTAATAGAAAAAAATAAGATGACATGAGCATTATAACCCGATAAAATATAATTCTAAACTTCATAATTAGAAGTGTTAGTTCTTGAAACACTCAATTGACCTATATTTTTAAACTGTTCATCAATACAGTAAATTTTAATTACAGAACACCGTGTGCAAAGAACTATTGCATATGTTGACATGAATGAACTCCAATCTCTGCCTTCAAGGATGGTTAAGATATTGTAGGTGTGCTGGTCAAAAGAAAACTCTAAAATACATGTCATAAGAGACTATTTATAGGTTTAGCTTTACACTTAATCTTGTGAGTGTGATACTTCATAATATAATTAATTGCATTCCTATAATCTGCGAAACATTTCTCCAAGGGCAGAAGAGCAGTGGTAGGTCACTGGTACCTACTTCACAGCATTATCAATACTACTACTATGCTGTGGAAACCAATAGAGCAGTATAATCAAAATATGTGTCCAAGTACTTATACTGTTATTATCATCACTTATTATAAGCAGATTAGTCACAAAAAACTTAATTTAAAAACTTTAATGTATGAATTTATATAATTTTAATCCTTAAGTACTTTGTCCTTCAAGAAATAAAAAGCTAAATAAATGTTATTTTTAAAGGAACTGATTTTTACTAATATTAGTTAGGATTTAAACAAACACATTAAAGCTGAAATGATTTCCTCCTGTGCATATATGTGTATGATTTAAAGGGGGAAAAAATCCCATCAAATTTCTTACAAATTAAGGTATGCCTCCAGAAAATGATAATGCAGTAAAGATAACATACCCCAGTCCTAAAGAAGGTCCCAAAGCTGCTTTTTAGTAGTCTGCTCCCTGCTATTCTCACTCTAAGTATGTAGACTCTTCTAGGGAGGAGAACAAGGGGGTCATTGGTCATTGTTCTCATAATTTCTAGAGGCCTGAATGAATTCAGACTGGTGAAATCACTGGGAGTTGTTTCTAAGGCAAGCAAACCTTTTATTATTACTCCCAACACTGTTTTTTCTTTTTCTTTTTATAGCAGCTTTAGGCTGAAATTTTGACTTAAACCAATATTATATTTTAAAATAATTCTTATATTAAAAGCAACCCTTTTGTCAGTACAAGGTATTCAGTGTGCTATTGGGGAAAGTAGAGGTAAAAGAAAGTGTATCCTGGGGTAAAGGAAACAAAAGTGTGCCCTGACAGAGACAATGTAGTAACTGGCAGACTTTCCAGACAAGTTCTGACACCTGGAACACTGGGTTTTCTAATTAATACCATACTTCTGTCCAATTTTCCCAGCCACAAACAAAAATTTTGTTTCTATTTATGTACTGAATTATCTAAATGACTGCAGAATAAATTCACAAAATTTAAAGAGCTTTGTTTGCCAAGGGCAAATTTTCTGTGGAAAGAACTACTCTGGCCTCCATAAAAGTACTCTTTAGTATGTATTACTAACGCAAAAGTCAAGTTCCTGTGATTTTTTTTTTCACATATACAGGAGGTTTACCTAATCTACAAATAAGCGGATCTGTTTTCTAATCATGAAACCTGGATTTAAAGCCGTCTGGCAAAAGCCAGCTTACCAGCAGTAGTCCAGCAGGTGTGGAGGAAGCACTGGGATGTATATATGTTGCCAATACATTGGGTAGAGCAGAGCAGCCGATCCATGGAGACAGGCAGTTAACTAAAATTTACAAAAGGACAACAATAATAAGTAGCCGCTGACCCTCCAAACAAAAAGCCATGTCCAAGGTATCAAAGATGAATGATAATCATAGAAAAATTTACACAATGACATAACTCACAATGCCTCTACCAGTTATATAAATAAAGTCTTTTATGTCTCAGGGACTCCTGTAAAAAATATATAAAAAGCAAGAGTAGTTTCATGGGAATCATATGTAGATAGTTATAACCACATAAAAATACACTTTGGGGTTAAAATTTAGAACATAAATAAAGTTAAAACTGAAAAATCAGGTAAGCATCTCAGAATATATAGTAGGAAATTACGATTTGTGCAGCACAGTTTGCGCATCACTCAGATTAATACAGCACGATTAAATATGGAAAAGAAGAGAGGCTGAAAGCTCCTGAGGGATATCATTAGGGCAAATTGCCAAAGAATGAAACATGAGCCAGTCAGGAGAGTCTGGAAGCTGCAATAATACCAGGGGACTTGAACGTTCGACAGTTGGAGCTTCAGTAATGTGTGAACTGTGGGTTATGGTATCAAGAGACTCTGTTCACTGACACATAGAATGTCACTATTGACCAGCAAACTGCCCAAGCTTGACAGCTGTACTACAGGAAGCCAAGTATATCATAATTTCATATTTAAACTGTTCATTCTAGATTAACATTTTGTTTCCTAGCTTTATATCACAGCAGCTGCAATTACATTGTTGCTATTTTAAAGGTAATTGCCATTTTAATTGTTTTGTTTTGGCAAGCAGTTAATTAAACATTTTTAATGCTTAACAAAGAGATATCATTTTTTTTCTCCTTTTTACTGACCCTCATAAGAATTCTTTCCATTTGACTTTGTTTCATTTTAATTATGTTTCTATAGAGGTAAAGTATATTTTTACTGGCTAGTAATTAAATCAGCATTCTTCTTTTGTCATTTTAAAGTTTTTCTGTAGCCTAGAGTTCAAGGTTACTAATAAAATAATTTTGGTGAAACTGAGAATCAAAATTTTCAAAAAACTATCTGAAAATGGACCACAGACTTTCTATAAACTATTTTCTCTATTTCATTGTTATGCAAATAAATTAAAACATATACATGAGAATCACAATTACCTTAAAGAATAAATGTAACCAAAGCAAACCCAATCATATTAGAAGCTAATTTTTTTAAGTGAAAAATTGAAAAAAAAAACAATTTAAATAATGTAATTCAAACCAAAAACATAAAAAAATTTCATTGAAATGTACTTATCTTTGTCACATGTGTGATATTTTTCCAGATTTTTGGTTAATTTTTTACAACAGATAATGTATCTGATTCCACATCATACTTTCATTAAAGAGTTTTAATGCCTTGAATTTGCTATCTTTATTAATTTATGAGTATTCTTTCAATTAATATTATTTTTTAAAAAATGTAATCGGAGCATATCAGATTCCACTAGGAGGCATTCAAATACTTCTATTTAACAATTATAGATCATGGATTTATTTATGTTACAAAATTGAACTAGAAGGAAATGGAAACGGGGTTGCTCTAACTCATTGTGTCAAATTCTCCTAGAGCTTTTAGGTACTTCCTGGTTGTAAATTAGGCATCTTTAAAACTGTCCTAACTTTCTCCATCCCTTTGGCATAACCTGATGGGTCAGGAAAGTTTAGGTAGCTTTGAAAGTCAGCTAATTACTCAATTTCTCCATCTGCACACAGATGACTTTCAAAACAGCTCATTTTAAATCTTAAAAAAAAAAAAGGGTGGGGTGCTATTCCTTTTGATTTTTGAGAAAATAGTAATAGTGAAGCAGGAGGAAAAACAAATTCTCAAAATGATCTATATTGAGGCTGACTTATTTCACTGGCCACACCCAAAGTTCAGAATACCCTTCTAAATGCTACACAGAATACTTCCTCTATCCGTCACTGGTCACCCTTAAATGAAGTTATTCATTATTCACTAACAAGGCACAATTGTATCTGACTGGATTTTTTTAAGAGGATAGTTTCAGTGATCATAAGCAGAGTCAAAAAATTTCTGTCATGTCCAACATCTTGCAGGGGGTCATCCCTGATAATCAAGATCTATCAGGAGAGATCAGGAGAAAATAAAGCTTCACAGGACTTGACAACTTTCTAGATATGGAAAATAAATGGCAAGGAGAGGTAGGAATATACAACAACCTCTCCCCAGCCCCAGTGTTTAGCCTAAGCAATGAGAATGAATTATTAAGACTAATATAAAAAAATGCCAGGCTTAGGTTGAATCATGAAGAACTTGAGTTTGCAAGTTCTGTTGACCAGGAGACATCCAAGTGGATATTTAAAAAGTAGAAGCATATCAAAGGATTGGGATGTGGCTCACTGGTAGAGCAGTTGTCTCACCTGTGTAAGGCCCTAGGTTCACCCCCAACACCAGCCAAAAAGAAAAAAAAAATACCCTATATGCCTCCAATTGCATGCAAGAACAACATCATTTTAACAACTACTTTGTAGAAAGCATAACAAAGTTGTAAGTAAATTATAAGAAAGTAAAAATAAATTTACTAGGAAATCAAACACATTCATATATGTTATATACAATTATAATCGAGTATACAAGCCAGGCTTGGTGGCACATGCCTGTAATCTCAGCAGTTTGGGAGGCTGAGACAAGAGGATCAACTTCAAGTTCAAAGCCAGCCTTAGCAACTTAGCAAGCAACTTAATGAGACTCTACCTCTAAAAAAAAAAAAATATTAAAAAGGATTGGAAATGTGGCTCAGTGGTTAAATGTGCCATGGGTTCAATTCCTGGTACAAAAAAAAGTATATGACAGAAAAAAATTAGGGCTCTGACATTAATAAGCTGTGTGGCCTCTGGCACATCTAACATAATAAGGTGTGAATTTCTTAATCTTTAAAATAAGAATTTATGCTAGATGATATGCAAGCATTGCCTTTCACAAGTCAAACATTCTTTAAATAAGATAAATTCAATTCTTACTTTTTTTAGATACTTAGTAATACATATTTTCCCATTAAGTGGTTAACAGCATATTTTAACTATAATTCAGATCTACCTTTAAAATACATCTAAAGATTACTTCTCAGTGCTTGACAGTGCATTAGGTTAACTATGCTATTAGAAATATATTAATTCATTTGCTCAGTTCAACAAAAATTTTAAGGGCCTGCTTTGTGTTTTCATAAATCCTTCCTAGGTAAAAGGAACACAATATTGAACAAAACAAAGTCCCTGTTTGTATGTGTTATGAAGAATACAAATAATAAACAAGCAAAACATACATTGTAGGTTGAGCATACCTATTCCAAAAATCCAAAATCTGTAATTCCTCCACATCCAAAAAGTTTAGAATGTTAACACGACACCACAAATGGAAAATCCCTTAACTGAGCTCATGTGATGGACTGTAGTCAAATATAGATGCACTAAAATATTGCATAAAACAACCTCTAGGCTATGTAAAAAGGGTATAGATGACATATGAATGAACTTTGTGTTTAGACATATGACTAAAGGTTTAAGGGGAAAAAATCTTAGCTTGAAGTAGCATACGAATATTTTAAAACACATTCACTTTCATAAAGTATACTCAAAATATTGAACTGATATTGTCCCAAAGGACTGATTAATGGAAAATGAAAACATTGAGATCTAAATTTCTTATAGATTCCAATTATAAAATAAGTATTTATGAGAACCATGTGATAACAAGACATATTTCATGCTTTCATAATTATCAAAATAGATTTTACCATCATGTATAACTAAAAAGAACCAATGGGGAAAAAAAGATTCAAAACCTGGGGCCTACAAAATCTTCAGATTAAGAAACTTGAAAACTAAGGTCAGCAATAGTGAATTTAGTTATAGAATAAAATGCACTTACAAATTTCAATCCTAGGCCACTTGGTTTAATAGCAGACTGACATTCATAATGACTGAAAATATTAATAATAATTTCAAATATTTATATATTGTTTACCTTATGCCAGGCCATATTTTGACTATTTGAAGTATACAGATCTAATCCTCACAAAAATCTAATGAAACAAGTACAACTATTTTTAATCCCATCTTACAGATCAGGACATGGACGCAAAGTTAAAACAACTGCCTGAGATCATATATCCTGTAAGGAGTAAAGTACAATTACGTTTGAAACCAAAGTTCTCCTCTTTTGTAATATTCTGTTGTGATCTCTTCCTTTTTCTTGAAGTTAAACTCCACATATTAGAGTCAATTAGCCTAATAACAAAAAACTAAGCAGTGTTTTAAACATTAAGTGTGCATGTGCTTTGTGGAGGCAAAAAACACATTCATCAGATTCCCAGGGAGACAGCAGAAAAATGACTCATCAAATGTAATGACCACAATGGAAAATATAAAAATTCCTAACTGACACACTTTAGAGGGAAAAATTTCATATTTACACATTGCCAGTCCCATTATTCTAGTCTCTGTATCACCTGGCCAGATTGTACCTTATTCTTAGGTAGAAATCCTACTCATTGCAACTAGAATTCTATGTGAGTTACTGAAAGGTAGATTTATATTGCCCCCAAATGTATTTATGCATAAAATAAGAAATAAATATGTTAGAGATGTCATCTGACTTTTAACTGAAGCAACAGTTCATTCATAACTTTAAGCACTATAAATAACTGCAAGTATATAGATTAAACTGCTAGAAATAGTAATGTGATAAATTCCGCCTGGAATGAAAAGAAAAATACTAGAAACCATAAAGGAGGCATCTGTTGAAACACATTTAATTTATATTCACATTTTAAAGTTTAGGCCAAAAAAAAAAAAGTGTCAGTTCGATATCTGAAAACTACAATGTTATCCCAATTATAAGTATTCTCACTTGAACAAAACTTTAATATTCAAATTAAGTGATATTTATATTAAAGAAACAGCAACTTTAATAGTGAAAAAAAGTCAGTATTTGGTTGTGAAATTTTTAAATTTTATTTTAGAGCTGTTTCAGTT